ATGCAACTCAAGACAGTGAACTAGTTAGTTAGTTGTTTACTCTATTGTCATTGTACATGGTACAATGAAATTAAATGCCGTCTTCAGTGTACATTATAACTATAAAAATAAAAACATAAACATACATCCTTTACATTCTATATAATTGAAATTGAAAGCCTGATATTGCACTATACAATAGAATTCAATATAGGTACTGCTCTGGGATAGAAGCTGTTTTTCAGCCTATTTCTCCTTGTTTTTATTATCCTGTACCATCTGCCAGATGGTAATAGTTCAAAAAAAGGGTGCCCAGTATGAGATGAATCTTTAAGGATGTTTTGAACTTTCTTAAGGCAGCGGGAGCTATAAAGTTCTTCCAAAGACGGGAGAGGGCAACCAATGACCCTCTGGGCAATGACGTTGACCCTCTGGAGCGCTGTCCTATCTGCCACTGTGCAATTGGCAAAGCATACAAAGGTGCAGCAAGTTAAAATACTCTCTCTGGTGCAGCGATAGAAGGGCACTAGCCCTTCTTGCAATTTCCCCACAACAAAGACTCTAATAAGTGGGTTAAGAGCCTCCCAACCCAGAGTCTCCTGATTTCTAGACTAGCACATTAACCACTACACCAAATTGGCTCTTGGCCATTACTTTATGGTCGCAAAAATATTTCAAACCTTAATGCCAAACGACAGTGGTACCTTGTTACTCAACTGCTTTGAAACTCATCAAATTTGATACTCAACACACTTTGATGTGAAAATTACGTCCCTGTACTCATTGTTTGTTTAGTACTGGACATACAAGCTAGAACCTTGTTGGTGTCGACTGCCTTGTGACTCACTACATTATTTCTTAAGGGAAAATTGTGTTTTGTTATTCATAAACCAATTAATGATTGGTATCAAGGTAGCACTGTATATGTTTGTTCATATTTCAACAAAATATGAATCCATTAGAAGGCAAACTGTTGAGACTCAGCAGCTTCCTCCCAGGAAAGGTTTACCAAGATCAGATTCTAGACATTTGCTCTATCCATCCCAACTATATATTCCTCTTCCTTCTCCCTTCCTGTCTTAATATTCTGTATCTCAGTATACTTTATTTGAAAGCAAGATCAATAAATGCTACAAGGGGGGGGGGGAATATAGCAGGAAACCACCGTCATAAAACCACAAACCCATAAACTCACACCTCGCTACTTAGCAATGATTTGATAGCTCTGGCATATGTCTCTATTCGGTCATCTTTCAATTCTTTCCAAATAGGTGCCGCTAATGAGATTTCAAGTGCTCCTGAGATTTTTTGCAGTATGCTGACTAGTTCGTGCGCTTGTTCCATTGCCCGCTTTGGGTAAAATAGTGCCCAGAAATGAATTGGAACCTAAGAAATAGAAGAAAAAGCAACATACTTTGACACTTGAAACAAGACACCTGCTAAAATGTAATGGCTTCCGAGGGATTTGAGGATAATAATATATTTTTTTACTAACAGAGTCCTCGACTTACAACCATTTGTTGAGCGACCAAAGTTGCAATCACACTGAAAAAAGTGACATATATTTACTCTAATAGCTGTTCCAGTAACCTCATGGCCCTGTGATCAAAATTCAGGGTCTTGGCAACTGGCATTCATTTATGATGGCTGTAGTGTTCCAGAGTCACATGATCAACATTTGTGACCTTCACAGTCAGCTTCTGATAAGCAAAGATAATTGGTGAAGCTGGATTTACTTAAAGTCGTGATTCACTTAACAACTGTAATGACTCATTCATTCGTTCGTTCGTTTACTGCCCGTCTCCCGGTGAGCTGTGGTGGCGCAATGGATACAATGCAGTGTAGCAGGTTAACTCACTGCTCACTCCAGGTGTTCCATCCTGACCGTCTCAAGGTTGACTCAGCCTTCCATTCTTCAGAGGTGGGTAAAATGAAGACCGAAATTGTTGGGAGCAAGAGGCAGACTCTGTAAACTATTAGAGGACCGTAAAGCCATACATAAGTCTAGGTATTATTGATATCTTGCCTTGGGAGCGACTCCAGGTGCCTTACAACATTAAAAGCTATAAAACTGTAACTGTTGGTTTACGATCCCAAAAGGCAAATGCTATCAACCATTTCAATTTCTTCAGTATCAACATTACAGCTGGTTATTAATCTTCTTTATGTTTTAGCCATATTTTTCACTGTGCCCTTTGACTTTCATTACCAGAGCTTGAAGGCTCTTTGCATTTTCAGTTAACAGACTAAACAGTTGTCAGCATAATACAAGTTACTGATATTTCTTCCTCTGATTTTTAAAACCATGCTCTTCTTCTTCCAATCCAGCTCCCCTTTTCCCCATTGCTTGTCAGGTGGTCACAAAAAGTGATCAGATGACCCCAGGACCATGCAATCATCATAAATATGAGTCAGTTGCCAAACATCTGAATTTGGATCACATGACCAGGGGATGCCGCAATATTTGAAGACAATTCTTGCCACAGTTTTTAAGCGAATCACTGTAGTTAAGTTAGTAACAAGGTTGTTAAGTAAAACTGGCTTCCCCACTGATTTTGCTCATCAGAAGGTCGCAAAAGGTGATCATATCATTCCAGGACAATGCAACCGTCATAACTGTTGTGGCCCAGTAGGAGCCGTTGGAGCTGCCACCAGACTCTGACAGCGAGGGGCCCTATGAGTCGGCTCTGGAGGATGTGGAGGACCCTGGACAGGGTTCCGACTCCGAGCAGGGCGCAGAGAGACTGGTTGGCCACCAGGTGGTGCCTGAGCCTTGGACCAGTGGGGAGGAGACAAGGGAGAGTGATCCAGAAGCCAGCAGTGAGTTGTTCCTGGATGCACGCCATCGAAGAGCTACTAGGCGTCAGGAACAATTACGCAATTACAGGAGGTAATTACGCTCAGCTGGTGGTCCTTAGGCTCCTCTCCAGACTATAAAAAAGACTGCTTGTGCACATGCCCCTTTTGCAGAAGTCAACGCATTGACTAAAGAGAACA